ATGCGTTATCCATCTCTAGCTAAGGAGTTAAATTGAAGTTCACATGAATACGGATTCAATGAGGTCGAATTATTCCCTTGCAAGGGAATAATTCATAATCAATGTTTCTTAGCTTAATTTGACAAAATTGAACCATACTGGTTGCTAAAAGCGAATTATTACTTCACTATTTCACTTTCATTAATGATCGATTGAACAAAAAAAATCATACTTTAGATGTTCTATATATCTCGTAGCTAGTACCCCTTTAAATATCAGATGTATTTGTACTCGGCTCGAAACAGGAGAAATAGCTCGCTGATGCTCGCATTACACATTTTTCTTAGCCTTGTACAAATACAGCTGATATTTAAGGACACAAAACAGATATTGTCTATATAATTATTCACGAAAGAGAAATGTAAGATAAGATTTCCTGATAAGAATAACGCAGGCTATCAATCCACAGGTAATTGCAGGTATCTAGGTAACAATATGCCCCAAACAAAAATTATTATCCTTTTTTTATAATTGTGCCATAAACTTCTAATCAAATAGAAAAAAAGTATTATTTAAAAGATCATATATAAAACTGAGTCAAATTATCATTGTAAATGTCATTAAATGAAAATCACTTATATACGAAAATCGAAAAATTAGACTGCGTACTTTTTAACGTACATAAATATGTAAAGCTAAACTTGGCATATACACAAACATTTGAACTGAAACAATAATAACCTCTAATTTGTAAAATTGGTGATATAAGTGTATTTAGTTATCCTTCTAGTAAGCAAATTTTTTATCATCTTGAATTGAACATTAATTATAAGGAGATACAGTGTACAGTGTAACTCAGGTATGGACATAAAAATGTTTAACCTGCTGAAACTGAATTATAATGAAGGTGAGATACCGTGTGCATCAGAACTCAGGTATGGATATTTTAAAATATCTATAAATAGTACACATTTAAAAGTAAACAAACACGTTACAAACTTGCTTACAATTTTTTTTTTATTTTAAAGCAGATTTAATTGAAACCTTTACATTTTCATCGATAAATATTCTTGTAATCACGTGCGTTAATAAGGTTATAAGATCTAGTTAGAATAGCAATTTCTGTAACTTCCTGTTTACTTGTCCGATGTCGATTATTTTTAGCCATAGCCTGTGTCAAGGTAACTTAAAAGAAAACTACCAAAATGGCACAATCCGCTTCGAAGTCCTGTGACATCTGTATGAGTGGACCAGGGCGTAATTATTGTGAGCAATGCGATCAATGGATTTGTGAAAATTGTAAAACTTTACATTTAAGGTCAAAAATAAGTAGAAATCATAACTTTCTTAATGGGTCAAATATCAATCTGGAAGACAAATCGTTTTGCAAAGAACACGACGAAAACTTCATATTTTACTGCATTGATTGTGACATGCCAATATGCAAAATTTGCAGCGTCAAAATACATAAAAAGCATGATATGTCTAAAATCAACGAATCGACACAGGAATTACAGACTGAAGTAAAAAAGGTAATTGACTCGAAAATTATATTCATCAAAACAAATCTAGATAAAATTGAACAAGGCACAGACATGTACAAGAGCGACATAAAAGAGACTATTCGTGTTATTACAGAAGATGGGAAACAGATGAAGCGGTGGATTGACAAGAAAGTACAAGACCTCATTACATCATTGATAGAAAAGGAGACTGCAAACCTGAAGGTCTTTCAGTCAATTAGAACTGGGTTTCAAAATTATTTAGAAAAGTTCGAGAAATGTCAGACTGCCTTTACCGAGAGTCAGAAAGTTGTCGATGCTAGCAAACTTCTGACACAATTGAAAACTATAAAATCCGACTTAGATGTTGAAGGTGAACGCAGCTACCGGTCATGCCGACTACGAAATATAACAAAAAGAATGTATCAGAACGAGAAATATTCAATCTATTTGGAGATGTTTCGTTCCAGTAAGTTATTTACTCTAGACAAGTGTTGTAATGGCAATAGTTTGTTTTCACCTATGGAGATGATTATTCGTTTACCAATGAATGACTTTTGTAATAAGTTAAAATGTTTTGGCTAAAATTATACATTTGAAATTCTTTTCTCGTCGTGATGCATCTACCATTGTATACACATGCATTCCATGTTACACGTAAATGAACTAGATGTAACACGTAAGGCACACGTAGAATTGCATCAAGGGATAAATAAGGCAATTCCACGAACAGGAAGTTACACGTATGCATGAAAAACAGCAATCTGAATAAAATACAGATCCCCGGTCTACGCTTTCCTTAGACGGATCAGACAACACTCCGTTCTACTTTCTGTTCTAGAAGTAATAAGTAAATTAGTCAATTAAATGTCTCCCTCAACATTTTTCAATGTGTGAATCTTTAAAAAAAATCCCAGGATCCCCGAAGCTCGTTTAATCAGAAATTAGACGTTGCATTGTCAGATCTTCTTAAGTGAACGATGGACAAATGATCAGTATTTTAATCATCTAGAACAAAGACTTACGGAAAGTAATGAAAATACAAAACACTAATATCAGAGGAATAAAGATACACGCAGAAATCGGTGTAAATCAGAAACAAACATGAACACCAATGAAAACATTGTACAAAACATTTGTTTTTATAATTTTGAATGTAATTTGTAACTATCTTATGTAAAATGTGTAAACAGAACTAAGGAAATTAGTAAAATAACAGTAAAGTAATTTTAATCAAAATTTTGAAAACAGGATTTCAATAATTTAGTGAATTAATATATTATCTAAATTTGTTTACAGTTTTAAGTTTAATGTGTGTGATCACAAGATTACAATTTACGTTGAAAGCATATGGAAATATAAAAACTCATCTTCACAACGTTGCACACATATAAATAAACATGATTCATCTGTTAACTGATAAGCTGTACACGTAATTGTAGTCCGGGGAATAATATGAGTGCCGATAAATATTTGCCTTTTTTACTTTTTTTCAGAGAAATAGTTAAATGTGTAAGGCAAACTCCAAAGAAAGTGACCAGGTATTTCCCTTATATTTATAAGATACATCCTACTTTGTTAAAAAGAAGAGAGAGAGAGAAAGAGAGAGAGAGAGAGAGAGAGAGAGAGCACCATTGAAACAGATTCATAAATAGTAATTAGTAGATTATCGAATTATCCATCTCAATAGTGAAATGATCAATTTTAAAGTCCTTGCCGAGTCTCGGATTCTAAAATTTTATAATTTAACTATCTCGATAAGATCAATCCGATAATCCACTGGTACCAATTTAAGAACATCTGTTGTTCGACTTGTTGGTCAGATGCGTTTTGTTTAAATATACTTTTTCACTTTTTTGGTCTTTTGGAAAATGTTGTTTGTGCTGTATTTAGGCCCCTCTACAAAGAAATTTGTTTTGCATGCACACGTATAAAAATTGCGGCTTTTATCCAACGCAATCATAGGTTTAAACGTTGTTTTCAATTTAGACTTATTCATATTCATTTATGTATATACGCTTATTCAAGGACTTTCATTCATTGGATTATAAAAGTACAGGCACTTCTTACTTTGGGCAAAGCCATAAGCTAACTAAAGATTGATGGAGTTTCTGATGCCTAGTCAGATTTTTTAGGATAACATTTTTGTATACTATTGTTTGCCTGTTTTTTTCATTCTCATGGTATCAACTGTTCCTTTTTCTCGTTGTATTATCGGTTCCTTTTTCTTATTGTTTCATCTGTTTTGTTTTAATCATGGTATCATCTGTTTCTTTTTTTTTAAAGTATCATTTTTTGTTTCCTTTTTGTCATGGTATATTCTGTTTCTTTTTTCCCATGGTATTATCTGTTTCTTTTCGGCTGATTTATTAAGATTGTCCCATTCGTATATTATTTATGTTTTCGTAATAAAATAGAATTTTTTATTTTACAAAATGTTACATCCCCTTTCAAATTGTAATAGCTTTTTAATGAATAAATAATATAATTACATTAACTGTACCAATGTACCTGAAACAAGTGCGCATTTCGATAATTAGTGTGTCTTAGGTGCTACTAAGGGGCAAAATATGTATATGAGCACAACACATCAACTTGAATAACCCACAGCAAGTATACTCCAATGCTAAGAATTGGGAATCCAGGCGTATAAAACTTTTGAGATAATAAAAGCTATGAGGCAAAAATTGTAAACCAAGAGTGAGAACTGTTGTTAGAAGATGATTACTATACGTAAACAATTAAAATTGTTCCTCAATATAAACATTTATACATCCGAGTTAGTATTTCAGACATTTCAGGAAATTTATATTTTTCTTGAATATATGCTTGTAAAAAAAAATAAAATTTTACAAAAAAAAGACAAAAAAATTTACACAAAAAAAAACCCCTAAAACAATTATCATTTATTCTATAATGGAGAACCAGGGACTCTAGTATTTGTTATAGTTACATCTTTAGAGAGGTTTTCATGTCAATATGATTTTTTTTAAGTTTAGGTGTTTGTTTACTCACACCAAAGATATGATAGCATATTATGAGCACGTCTTGGTTTTCTAATTTAATAAAGGATATTCCGAGCATCAACAACTTCCTGCAAAGATGTTATTTGTTGACAATCTACTCAATGTAACTCAGTTCAATACACTTGATCTGATCTACGATAGAGACAAATACCACCCACTTTGAATTTGGGTCATACAGTCATACGTGTGTTCATGTAAGTTTTCAGACCCTGTATAATTTGTTTAAAATTTAACAGTTGATTATATTTTAAACAACGAAGTTGTGAATTGCAACATGTATGCATTGTAGAAGAACTTTTCATTAGAGATGGAATGAATTATACGGACTTTATGTGTTAATCATTGTGTGACATATATAATAAATATTTGCACAACTATTACAAAACACACACACACACACAAACACACACACATTTTAATATGCGTATTTAATGTTTCATTATGTCGTGAGTTTCACTTTCATCAATTTGCTTTTCCATATCTCTGATTTCAGAGAACAGTCAACAAAAACACTGTACATATACGAATGCAGCAATTGTAGGTAAGAATAAGTAATGTTTATGTTAAATGTGAGAAGATGTTCGGTTTGATATTGTGTTATGTCTTATCATTTGTGGTTTGAATTCTGTATTTTCGGTACATTTCACATATGTTTTATTTGTTAGTATAGTCGAGTCAATTTCCGTTGTCCATGGAAAATGTATTGTGTTTGTCCAAATAATCATGACGTCGTCACAGGGTTCACTTAAAACAGCCTTTCGATACCGTCATAGTCATGATAATTATTTGAACTAGTATTGTGAAAATAATTGTGAATTTTTGGATCTCGTTCCAAAGAATTGTATGAATTTCAATATTATATACACGTCACAAAATTATGTCACTGTTTGTCGTGTTCTGTGCTGTCATTAAAGGATGATGTTCGTTGTTAGTTTGCGGTTTACATGTTCATGATGTTGTAATGTACTATTATATTATTTGTTTATTTGTGCTGATTGTTCTCGCATTTGTTTGTAGTGTATTCCCGTCACGTAGTGATGTCATTTTAACGACATTTATTAATATTTCCATATAAGAGGGAGGTTTAGCTAGCCATAAAACCAGGTTCAACCCACCACGTTTTCATAAAATGTCCTTTACCAAGTCACAAATATGGCAGTTGTTATCAAATTCATGTAATCCGTTTCTATGTATGTTGGCGTTTGTTTGTGTTGCACTTCAGTTTTTATGTTGTTCTGTTGTTTTCCTTCTAAAGTTGATGTGTTTCCCTCTGTTTTAGTTTCTAACCAGGATTTATTTTCTGTTAATCGATTCATGTTATAGATAATGCATATTTTAAAGTTTTCCTGAAGTATAACACACCGAGGGGTGTCAGGATTGGTCAAATAAAAAATGTGTTCATGTTTTAATATGCCCTACAGCTCATTTATAATGTGTAATAAAGCTCACTAATTAAACTAGATATATAAACGTTAGATATCATTGTCAGTTTGAATAGACATGTTACTTTAACTGCATGATGCAATACACCAATGAATTGTTATGACCTGTATCAGGTCATTATTTTATGCCTTGAAGCAAATTTTATTGAAACTTGGTATCGTCCGGGTTGATTCTTTAAAAAAATGACCTATCGTTCTGAAAGAAAATAACTCCATGTAGGTATATTAGACTTTGAACAGCAGTATACTACTGTTGCCTTTATTTAGATATGCCAAGGTGTTATGATAAACTACATGCACCTGTTTTAAGAATACTAATACCCGCAAGTGTAAGCCAAGATTTCACAAGAAAAATAATGTTAAACATAGAAAAACAAAGACTGCACAACACAAACTTGCTAAAAAACAAAGTCTCATATTATAAGAGAATTATATTGATACCATATGGCAATAACCTGACAAAATATTAATTTTAAGAATACACGATTTAGAAAACCATGAATCACAGGTTCACACTAAAACGAGAAAAGAAAATGACTCAATCATGCGTTCAATGAAGAAACAATAATGCGAGAACATGGTCGAACTACACCGGAAAATGACAGAAAAAGAAGAAAATCAAGACAAATAAATCCTTTATAATCATTTTGTTAAATGCAAATCAAATGTAATAAATACGAAAGGAAACAATATAATTTGCAAGATTATATTCCACTCTATGTAAATTATCATTTGACCAAAAATAATAAACGATGAAATTAATTTGAAGAATCAGAACCATCAGTACATATTCAAATGATTTCAGTATATGTTGTTAGGAAATCGATTGATCTTTAGCAATTAGATTCGAATGAAAATACTTTAACAAAAGATACTTTGCTATTGCTTTTCAGGAAAGTAAATCTTTCTGAGTAAGTATCAGTAAATATCTACAACAGCCTATTGTAAACTAAATATTTTAAAATTGTGAAATCAAAATCAAAGAATATTTTTAAGAAGAGGTGTATATTGAAATAATATTTCATTAGACAGGCTTTCTTTTAGAGTAAAATAACATGTGATAAATCCAAAAATGAACAAAGAGCTTATTGTTCAGTGGTTGTTGTATGTTGGTGTGGTTCATAAGGGTTTCTCGTTTTTCTGTTTGTTACATAGATTAGACCGTTGTGTTTCTCTGTTTGAATTGTTTTACACTGTCTAGTCATTTTGGGGGGCCTTTATAACTTACTGTTAGGTGTCAGACAAGGCTCCGGGTTGAAGCTCCCACTTTGACCTATAATTGTTATTTTTTTTGTATACATTATGACTTGGATGGAGAGTTGTCTTATTGAAACACATACCACATCTTCCTATTTATATAAAATATGTATCTGGTCTTAACGATGACCATCTGTTGACTATTTAAAAAGGGAGGATTTTGTTTGATAACTTATACACAATTTTCTTTGTCAAATGATTAATTAATGATCAACCAGTGAAACAGCGTAGTGTTACAGTTGCATATTTATTCGGTAAAAGGTAAAGTATATCAAATAAAAAATAACATAACCAACTAATATGTTATTACTGTTAAAAGTATTTTAACTGCAGTTAATGGTCATTTTAGTTTGTATTTTGTTTTATAGAGAAACACCTAAAGTGTGAGTATACTATTAAAATTACTTTCTGAAATTACTATGTTAAATCTACCTATTTAGTACAATAAAATAATTGAATATACAACCTACAATTCTGTTAAAAACATTAACATACTTCTGTTAAGGTGCACACCAATCTGTCTACAACTCTCTAGAATATATGATATCGCAATGTAGGCAAACACAGATAACACAAATGTAAACTCATGCCAATACAATAATGTTCATCTTTTAATGGTCATCCACAGTAATATGTAACCAATCTGATAAAACAGGGGGATTGTCACATGTTTATTTTGCATATCACGGTTATAAGTCGTCATATTCATTTATCTTACGATTTACGCTACACAAATAATTAAGTAAATGTAAGCCGCCGTAACCTGTTTTTTTCTCTTTTATACTTGATGTCATGTTAATAGAATAATGTACTATAACAAGTAATAAGAGATTTAAGAGTCCAAAATATGTACAAAACATACTTCATTGATATTGAGGTTTTGGAACTATTAATATGATCGCCATGTGATTTATTTGTTTTAAACTATAACACTTGTGTACATACATGCTGGTTCTTATTGAAATATTTGTCCTATCTAAACAAATGTCTTTTACATTTCGCAAGTTATTGAGATAGGGCATATACTCGATGGTTAATCCGACTATGTTATAAAAAATGAAAACAACACGTTTCAAACTTCATTATAGAAAACGTTATTTTGTAAAGAAATACAAAGAACTTTGATCATGGTTTAAGTAGATGCAATAACGCCGTATATCTTATTATTATATAAGTACAATCTATTGTCAATTGTCATGTGTGCTTCGATCCCTGTGTTAATAAGTAACTTTCATTATTTAAATAATCGACATTATTAACTCGCGAAACACAGTGGTTGTCTCTAGTGTTGCAGAAACTACTGACTTCTTGAATGCCTTAATTCCAAATGTCCACCTCTCTTGTTAATTTTTATCAATCTACAAGTTTCTGTTGTTTATCATTCTTAGACATATTTTATATTCTCCTTAATATCTTCTCCGATTTGCTAATATATAAAAACGGTTGTTGTCTCTTTCAGGTTAAAGCTACGTTCCACTTTATTTATATTTAAAATATGCAATTACTGTCCTCAATCGTGTCATACATATATCATGTATATATAATCGTCCAGTTAACTTGTTAGATTCCTTAGCATAAACATTCTGCAAACTTATGAACTACGTAGAATGATTAAATGCCAATAGAGAAAAAAAAAACGATTACACTACGCTTGGTTACCAAAGAAGAATAAAAATATTGTTACAGTGAAATTAGAAAACGTAGAGAACACTAGAAATGAAACTGTTGGATTAAGAGAATGCTACAAATGAGTAATTAAAACTAAGCTAATCATTTTCAACATGATGATAAAGTTTGATAAGCCGTTTAATATCTTTGTTTCAGCTTAAATCAAGTAATGTTTTCATTATCATATTCATATTAGCATACAAAACCAGCCATATATCATGTAAATGCATGATTATTTTGATACATTGTGTTTAGGTAGATACCGTATTATTCTCATGATTAATATAATGAAATAGTCCAATTCAGTCTTATAATCCGCAGAATTTGTTGCTTATACTTTTTTTATGAATTGCCGTTTGTTTTACAACTGTTTCATGCATGTAAAAAATGTATTGTTGACTAGTCATGAATATTACATACTTCAAAATCAATAATGTAAATAATGTATAGTACTGTTTATTACTTGTACTTTAAATGTATAGTTTAAGTCATAAAAAAATTTTGACATGACATGTTTTCTATTTCAGTCATCCTTTCGGGTAAGAACTGCATTTTTCTAAGACAAACATCTTACACTTTCAATGATTTCCATACACATATATTTTAACACCCATAATTATGAATTGGAAATTAACAGTAACTAATTTGATCAAGCGTAAAAGGGAAATCCCATCGCTAGACAATTTTACATTTGCGTGAAACACACTAAGTTACAGAAAATTGTTATTTTGCATATAATACACTTATGTTACTAATGAGTCTTTTGTAGACGAAACGCGCGTCTAACGCAAATACAAAATTGCAGTCCTGGTATTTATGATCAGTTTATTTACAGAAATATGGTATATATATGATATATTTAGTTCATAATTATTAAAATGTAACAGACCATCAAATAAGGTGTACATACATTTTTGGAGCCAGATAAAACAAAACAACTCAATTGAGAAGATAGAAAATAATTCAATCAGACACACCACCATTAAAAAGTTACTAGACGCGCGTTTTGTCAACAAAAGACTCATCAGTAACGCTCGAATCAAAAAAGGTTTAAAAATTCAAATAAAGTACTAATTTGAAGAGCATTTAGGACCAATAGTTGCGAAAGGTTTGACCACATACACCTAAGGAAATCTATTC